AAGATGAAATAACAATTATAAAAATATATATACAAAAATGCCAAGGTTCCTACCAATGTGAGACAACACCACACATCTTCTCATACAATAATGAAGTAAAACTGAAAGCCAGAAAGCCAAAATACCCCAGAAAACATATAAACAGTTGGAAACTGAACAATGCTGCTGAATGAACAATTATAGAAGAAATCAAACAGGAAATTTTTTAAATTTCTTGAAACAGAACAATTATAGAAGAAATCAAACAGGAAATTTTTTAAAATGACTTGAAACAGACGAAGGCATCAACACAATGTGTTAAAACTTGTGAGACACAGCCAAAGCAGTGCTAGGAGGAAAGTTTATTGCAATCAGTGCTATGTCAAGAAACTAGAAAGGCACCAGGTAAATAACTATAGTTCTAAAGGAGTTAGAAAAACAATAGCAAATTAATCCCAAGATTAGCACACACACAAAAAAATAATCAAAATAAGGGATGAAATAAACCAAACAGAAATCAAAAGAACAATGCATAAGATCAATGAAACAAAGATCTGATTTTTTGAGGAAATCAACAAAATAGATCCCCCACTAACCCAACTAACCCCAAAAAGCAGGGGTGGGGGGTGGGGCAGACACTAATCAATCAGAGATGAAAAAAGAAAACATAACAAGGGATATTGCACATGTACATAGAATAATCAGAAACCAATACAAGCAACTATACACCAACAAATCAGAAGACCTAGATGAGTCAGGTAGATTTCTGGATACATAAAATTTACCAATTTACTGAATCATGAGGTAATAAAAAATCTAAATAGAACTGCAACCAGAACAGAGCTTGATTTAGTAATTAAATCCTTCCCAACAAATGAAATCCCAGTTCTGGATGGCTTCTGAGCCGAATTCTACCAAACATTCCAAGAGGAATTTACCTCAATTCTCCAAAACTTATTGAACACAAAAGAAAAGGAAGTAATCCTTCCAAACCCTCTTTATAAAGCCAAAATCACCTCAACACCAAAACCAGACAGACACACGGAGAAAACAAACCACTCCTGATGAACAAAATGCAAAAATCCTCATCAAGATACTAGAAAACAGAATTCAACAACACATCAGACAGGACCAGGTGGGATTTATCCCTGCCATGTGTGGATGGTTTAATACACACAAATCAATAAAGGCAATATGCCACATTAACAAAATAAAGAATAAAAACCACATGATCATCTCAACAGATGCAGAGAAGGCATTTGATAAAAATTCAACACCATTTCATGCTAAAAACCCCCACCAAAACCATGAAGAGACTATATCAGCCAGTGGATTCTGAATAGTTTTCATCATGGTTGGAACAGCGAGATTGGCAGCAATTCAGAACTGTTGAACTATCAAAACTGCTTGAGCAGGACCCTTGGAGCATGCCTCACATCGGGGACCTGGGATGGGTGGGAGGCTAGGTGGGGCTTCTCCCTTTGTTTCTCCCCTGACCCCAGATACGGAGGGGGGAAATGATGGTAATAGTGTAGAAGTAATGGTCTTACCCAGTTTCCTATAGCCCTAAACCCTTTGTACCCTAATTAACTAAGTAAGATTATTTTAAAAAAAAAAGCAAGATATGCATAGAAGGAACACTCTACAACACAAAGCAATTTATGACCCAATGCCAGCATCATATTGTGGCATTCCACAGCGTCCCTAAAAGCTTCCCACCGAGATCTGGAACTAGACAAGGATGTCCTCTATCACCACTGCTATTCAACTATATACTGGAAGTTCTAAAAACAGCTATTAAGCAAGAAAAAGAAATTAAAGGAACTCAAATTGAAAAGAGGATGTCAATTTATCCCTGTTTGTCAGATTATATGATTCTATACAAAGAAGAACCAAGAGTCAACCAAGAGACTATTAGAACTCACAAGAGAATTTGGCACGGTAGCAGGTAACAAATCAATGATCATAAATCAATGACCCTAGTATACACAAATAATTCCATGGCTGAAAAAGAAGTTGTAAGGACGGTCCCTCTCAAAATAGCAAAAAACAACCTTAAATACCTTACAATAAACCTAACCAATAAACATGAAACATTTTTAAAAAAAAATAGAAGAAGACATTAAAAGATGGAGAAATGTTCCACGTTCCTGCATCAACAGAATCAACATCATCAAAATGTCCATATGACCAAATGTAGCATACGTATGCAATGTGATTCCAATAAAAATTCTAACAACATTCTTAGATCTGGAAAAAAATGATACAAAAATTCATCTGGAAACACAAGAGACTACAAATAGCCAAAGATATCTTGAAAAATAAAAATAAAGTTGGAAGAATCACAATCCCAGAGCATAAGACATATTATAAGGCAATGATAATTAAAAGTCTGGCACTAGTATAGAAACAGAGAAGATGATCAATGTATCAGAATAGAAACCACAGAATCAAATCCACATACATGTACAACCAACTAATCCTCCACAACAGAACTGAAAATAAGCCAGGGGAAAAGCCTGGTCTCCAACAAATGCTGTTGAGATAACTGAATAGAAGCCTGCAAAAGCAAAAAAAAAAAAAAAAAAGCAAGACTCCCACGTGTTACCTTATACAAAAATCAGCTCTAAATGGATCAAGGACCTAAATCTGCACCTAGATATCTAGATATCATCAAACTATTAGAGGGAAACATAGGAAGCACTCTACAAAATACAGGCATTGGTAAAGGCTTTTCAGAAAAGTCACCAAAAGCACAGGCTATCAAAGCCAAAATAAACAAATTGCACTGCATCAAACTACAAAGCTTCTGTACAAAACTGTAAACAAAGAGGCAATCAATAGAACGTGAGAAATCCTTTGCACACTACACAACAGATAGGGGCCCAACATATAGGATTTATTAAGAGTCAGAAATACAACAGCAAAACAAACCTGTTAAGAAATGGGTGAAGGAAATAAGCAGATATTTTTCAAAAGAATAAATTCAAATGGCTAATAGACACATAAAAAAAATGTTCAGGCTCCCTAGCATTAAAGGAAATACAAATAAAACCACACTGAGGTTCCACCTAACTCCGGTGAGAATGGCCTACATATAGAAATCCAACAACAGCTGCTGGTGAGGATGTGGGCAAACAGCTACCCTACCACAATGCTGATGGGATTGTACACTAGTATGGAGAGTGCTTAGACAACTTAAAATTGATCTGCCATATGATTCAGCTATCCCACTCCTGGCAACATATCCACAAGAAGTGAAACCTACATACAAGAAAGCAACCTGCATCCCTATATTCATCACAGCATAATCCACAACGACAAAGACACAGAAACAACCCAGATACCCATCGAAAGAGGAATGGATAAAGAGACTGTGGCACATCAACTCTATGAAATAATACTCAGTCATTAAAAAGAATTAAATTCTACCATTTGCAAGAGAGTGGTCCCAACAGAGTCCATTAAACTCAATGAAATAAGCCAGTCTCAAAAGGACAAATACCATGTGTTCTCTGATACAGGTGAACCTTCATTTAAACTCAAAATAAGAAGATACATTGCTAAGCACCTATGTACATATACTTTCATAAGTCAATGTTGTAATGGTGACTAGAGTACTGGTAAAACATAGAAGCACTACAACGTACACCTCTACTCCTGACTAAAAGAAGGAACCCAATGAAACTGCTAAATATACCTTGACAACAAGATACTAGATTCTCTACCATTGTTTATACCTGCAATGCTATAACACAAGCAAATATCAGAATGTTGGAATTATGACTGCAGCTGAACAACTATACTACTGTAAAATACAGGGGAAAGTGGGTAGGGAGGAAAGGAAAGGAAGACGGAAAGTCCTATACCTATAAATCCATATAATGGAAAGCATAAATAAATAAGTAAATAAATAAGCAAAAATTTTTTAAAAGAATACTTAAGACCTATTTACATGAGCAGATGGGGGGAGAAATCCCAGGACCTATGGAACTTTATCATAAAATAAGTACAAAATTTTAAAAGACCTATTTGCATTGTAATTTCTTTCTTTAACTATAAAATGTAGTTTTAAGACAATATGATTCTCAAGGTTGCTTATACCTCTATGATCACACTACCTAACCATATGTTTAATTTAATTAAATTAATAAGTAGTTTTTAATTGAAGATACTACTCAGCCATTAAAAAGAATAAAATCCTGCCATTTCCAAATAGATGGTTCCAAATAGAAACCATTATAATCAGTGAAATAAGCCAATCCCAAAAGGACAAATATCAAATGTTCTCATTGTTTTAAGGCAACCTTCATGTAAAATATAAGCTCATGCATATACATACAGTCATCTAGAGGAACAGTAAAAAAGAGACTATCATATCAAGAGGTGAACACACAAAGTAGTATGAAGCTCTACTTCCAAATCAAACATGGATTCCCAATAAAACCGTTAAATATATCTTGACAACAGGATGCTGGACTTTCTGCCATTGTCCACACCTACAGTGTCAGGACACACTTAAATAGCAGAATGAAGGACTTGTGACTATTGTTGAAGAACTATACCATTGCAATAATAAAGGGGAAAGCAATGGGGAGTAGGAGATTTAGGGATGAGGGAGAGGAAATCCCAAATTCTATTGGAACTGTGTCATAAAATTAATTAATCAAGTTTAAAAAGTATCTTTTAAAAAAAAACTAGTGTGCTCTCAGATTTGCAAGTAATGTGCCATATGCACACAATAAAACAGGTAAAAGTCTTAAAATACAGAAATGTCTTTTTCCCTATCAAAAAAAAAAGTATGCATCAGAAGAAGCACATTAATTAGGTAAATGAAAACAACTGTGACAAATCTGGAACATTCTAGCAGCAATGATTCACATAAGCCCTAACAGTGAAGAGCAAGTAACTTTTGCCCTACTTACAAGCAGGAGACCTTTGTACATTAGACTAACCAGACACAGAAAGGCAATTACTGTTTATACAAAGAGCAGTGTTAATAATCAAAAGTGTACACTCACCTTGTAAGGACTCCCCCTTGCAAGCAATGAAGTAGAAGAAAACAATTCTGAATTTCTTGGCCTGCTTGCTTTAAATCAGCTTTGAACCAAGAATAACTAAAGCACTGGACCACAAATGTTCCAAAAAGCATGAAACTTAATGTTAAAACACCAAAAATATATTGTCCTTCACGGAAAAATTTAGCAGATACCCAGATGTCGACAATTAAGTCAGTCATATATATTATAATGCCAAGAACTGACATCATAAAATTGCATTTAGTGTATTTCATGATTGTATCAATATGGTTCTTCTTATATACCAACTCCTCTTCTCTGATAAAAAAAAAAAAAGAAAAAAGAATACCAGAACAAATATTATTGCTTTTGGTATAGCACCAAACTATATTTTCTGCTCCCTAAATCTATCTAGATGAGTAAATGTTATTAAATCAGAACACCAAAATCAAAGTGACTAATTTTAACTTCTTTTAAAATCTCCATCCAAGGTCCAATGTTAGAAGGCTTTGTAAAATCTTCTGCTTCAACGATCTTCTTTAAAGACAACACCTAAACTGAAACATATACATAACTTTTTTAAAAATCATGAGTACTTGACCATGGCATTTTATCATAGGTCTATTTTAAGAAAAATAATACATTAACACTAAATATAGTTCTCACAGTTTATGGTAAGTAAAGCTGACAATTCCTGTTAGACTCCAGTTATCTATCTTCTAAAAACACAGCTTACTCTGAGATGCTTATCACAGGATCATTTATACTGGGGGAAAAAGACTGGAAACTACCTAAAAGTATCATCAAAAGGAAATGGTAAAGTAAATAAAGGCAGATTCATAAAATGGAATATCACAAATCTTCTAAAATGTATTTAACAAAAAAAGCACAATAGCAGTGAACATTCTTCATGTACATTCGACCCAGAAATTCTATCCAAGGGTCTAGCTAAGGAAATAATTGTGCGTGTGTATGTGTGTGTGTGTGTGTACACATATTCTTTGCAAAGCCTTTTTTATGACAGCAAAAAACTGAAAACTACACAAATAGTGACTGAAAACCCTACCTTAGTAAATTCATGATACAGTCATAACAAAGGACACACTATACAAGCTTTATAAATAATGAAGTAACTCTGAACTGACTTCATATAACTTCTAACAAGTATGAAGTGAAAAAAAAAAGAATGCCAAAATATAAATACAAAATTTATGGATTGAATATCTATGGAGTGGGAAAGGGAGATGGGAGTAAATGCAATTCCAATCATTTATTCTCTTGAGTTTTTATAACATACTTACATGCTACACAATTTAATATAAAAACAACAGTAAATGATACTTAAGAAGAATTTTAGTGAATTCTCACTACTAATGAAGCCTAACATGCCAAACCATGTATCAGTCACAGGAGCTAAATGTTGCATACGATATAGTTAATATACAACTTAAACCTTACATCAAACTCAGGATCTACACACCACCCTAATGGATTCATTTGTATTTTTTTTTTTTACTTAATCCATTTGAAAGACAGAGTGACAAACAGAGAGAGAGAGAGAGAAAGATCTTTCATCTGCTGACTCATTTCCTAAATTGCTGCAACACTCAGGGCTGTTCCAGGCCAAGGCCAGGAGCCCGTAACTCCTCCAGGTCTCTCATATTGTGGTAGAGGCCAATTACTTGAGTCATTTCCTACAGCTTTCCAAGAGAGATTATCAGGGAGCTGGGTCAGAAGTGAAGCAGCCAGATTCAAACCAGCATGCCAAAATGGCACGCCAGAATCAAAGGCAGGAGCTTTACCCACCGTACCACAACACTGGCCCTAGAAAAATAATTTTAAAATTTCATTTTTCCTATCCAAAAGTCCATAAATTTCCTGTAGATCTCTTATATTAAAATGAAGGACATAAAGCCCAACACAGAGAGAGAATTTAGAAGAATGAGGTTGTACAAAGAAGTTCTATTTAGTTGAAGTAAGCAAAGGTTAGTTAGAACCTATGATGTACTATTTTAGGTTCTTGAGATATAAGTACACAAGAAACAAAAAATCCCTGTCCTTGTGGCACTTGCATCTTGGCAGAGAAAGTTAGTCAACTAACAATAAAAGCAATAAATGAGTAAAATAAGTCTTATACTATAAGGTAAAAAGTGCTAAGGAGAAAATCCAAAGACTGGTGAAAGAGAGCAGGAGTTGGAATAGAGGCGGTGCCATCCACAAATGGATGGTAATCTTAACTGTGTTGGCCAGGGCAGGACTCACTGAAGAGTTGGTATTTGCATAGTAGAATTAGCTCTGTGGGAATCAAATGGAAAAATCTTCAGGGTGAAAAACATAGCTGGTTCCAATGTCAAATGCACTGGATTTCAAGTATGTCCTCCAGCAACAAGTATGAACAGAGATTCCTTACCATGGTAATACTGGAAATGTTTAATGTGTAACCCAATCATGTCCTAAGAGTACTCTAAAAATATATAATTTTGTAAACTTTAACATCCAGTATTAAGAGCAATTCTGCAAACATAACAGAAGAATAGAGAATAGTAATGGTAGCCAACATTACTGAGTGATTACTACAAAGAAAGTATCTGGTATATATAATTTTTTTAATCCTGACAAATCCCCGTGAGATGTATCACTGGCCCTTCTTCATGGACCTGAAAACCGAGGCTTAAAGATGTTGAGTATTAAGATGAGCTGCCTCCACTGAATAAAGTGTGTTTGCCTCTAACACTTGGGCTATAATTTAAAAACATCACACATCAATTGAGAAGACAGAAAACCGTAATAGTTGTTTGAATATGACACAGGCATATCATTCTGTACATCAGAGACAGACTGATACCATAGAGTATTATTCTTTTCTGGAAGGGAATAAAATGAAAGGAGAAAAGCAGTTAGAATGGCAAAGCAGGTAGTGCTAGGCCTTCTAAGCAAAAAGTCTTTAATTTATTTTCTCTTAACTTATAAGAGTCTTTAATACTCTTCTCAGAATTGACTCTTCCCCCATCAGAATCAGATGTATAATGTCCAAAAGGCTAAGATCTAACTAAAATGCAATAGTGCAGCTATATTTTTTAATGTGAATAGAGTCTTTAAATGATACTATGATATCTAAGCACTCCATCTTTGCATTTCCTGCCTCAGTTCTCACAAACTTTTACCTGGCATGAATAAGGAAAACACCAAGCAATCCTGAGTTAAATTTTACCAAATGGGAAGAACAATTGCCAAGAAACTGAAATCACATTGGCTCAAAAGAAAGATACAGCAATGTCCACAGTCAGGCAGAACACAAAACCCAAAGCAGGAAAGCCTGTACAGGACGCGAACAAACACAACCATGCCCAGAAAGAGAATCCTTGCTCTTTCAATAAGCTCCACAGCTGCGTAACTTATACCAAATACAGTTCATCTCTATCCCCCCAATTCATCATTGCTCCAATACCTCTTAGCAGAAACAATACCACCAACAAAATGATCCTTCACACGGGACTTCTGACACTTTCTAACTTAACTGCATGGTTTCAATTCAATTTCATTCAGAAGCCAAGCTATCTGAATATCTTACTGTCAGCTGAAACGGCAGACATGAAGTTTGCTCACTGGACATGACAAAACAGCCACCGAAAGAAATAAAATCTAGGGAATTTTCCCTTCTCCACCAAATGTAAACATATAAAATATAGACTTACTTGTCAAATAAAAGTCTCTTCTGGAAAAGTGCCATCTGATGAGTTTTTTTTTCTTCACTAGAAGCAAATATAGTTAGAAAGTGTAAGTCTTTAAGATCAGAAATAAAATGAAACTGAAATCATGTTAGTCTTCCACGGCCCTTCCTGAGGGCACAGAATCTACCTCACTGAGCACAGCGTGTCTCTTCATAGCCGTCTCCCTGAGAGGAAGAAATAGCGTTGCTCCTTCAAAGGCTGACAAGGTTCCATGCTTTCTCTGTATTTGCCAACTAAGTCTAGAGAAAGTACAGTTGGTCTCACGGCATATTCAATGGACAAGAGACGCTACCTGGAAAGATGAAATTCTTGAATCTGATATAGTGCTACAGATTTTTTTAATGCCAATAACCTAGCCATATCTATATTTCCAGCATATGACATGGAACTTTTCAAATCCTATGGCCCAACAGCATATACTTGCTGTTGTCTATCATTCAAATAAACACTGTTGCTTTCATTTCCAAGCATTTATTGAAGGTTGTTCACAGTCTCTAGAACAACCTCCATCTCTCTGATGAAATTCTATCAATTTTTTAAGATTTTTTTTAAATTACACAGAGGAGTGACAAAGAGAAATATCTTCCATCCAGTGGTTCACTCCCCAAATGGTCACAACAGCCAGTACTGAGCTGATCTGAAGCCAGGAGCCAGGGGCTTCTTCTAGGTCTCCCATGCAGGTGCAGGGTCCCAAAGCTTTAGGCCGTCCTCAACTGCTTTCCCAGGCCACAAGAATGAATGATTATAAAGAAACTGAACAGGATGTAAAAATCCCTGATCTTGTTTCTTAAAGAAGTTAAACTCCCATTGCACCAAAAATATGAGTTTTACAACTTTAGCTTAGATCTCTTTTCAAATCTCAACCCACATACCCAAATGTATAACTACAAATGGCCATGGTATAAATAGCCATATCCCAAAGCCATGTTCATTATCTATCTTCTGTGCTCCCCTGCTGCACTCTCCTCGGATGACTCTAAACAAGTTACTTTTCAACTATTTGAAAAGTTACTTTTCAACTATTATTGAGCCCATTTGTTTTCCTCTGTCAAATAAATGTCTTGGCTATACATTAAGTAAAGATGGAAAAACAAAGAAAATTCTAATTTCAAAAGGCAAACAAAAACAAAGAGGTAAGAGAAAAGAGCAGCCCGAGATCCACGAAAAACAGTGCAGTCTGAGAAATCAGTGCTGTAGCTTCCTCTCCAGCACCCATTGGGTTTTTTTTTCTATCAGGGTTTAAAGGGTTTTTTTTTTTTAAGATTTATTTATTTTTACCTGATTTACACAGAGAAGGAAGATTTAGTCATTTATTTTCTTTTAAGATATAGTTTATTATTTTTATTAGAAAGCCAGATTTACAGAGAGAAAGAGAAGGAGAGACAGAAAGATCTTTCATCTGCTGGTTCACCCCCCAAGTGGCCACAACAGCTGCAGCTTAGCTGATCTGATCCAAAGCCAGATTCCAGGAACTTCTTCCTGGTCTCCCACAGGGGTGCAGGGTCCCAAGGCTTTGGGCCATCCTCTACTGCTTTCCCAGGCCA